AAAAAAAAAAAAAAAAAAAAAAAAAAAAAAAAAGAAGAAGGAAAAAGAGATAAATAAAAAGGGAGGAGGGGGGCACGACGGCAGCGTCGCCCGGTCAGAAGCCGCGTAAAGCAGCGCGCTGCGCCCAGGGCCGTCAGCCCGAATCAGGGGCTCCGATCCCCACCGACGCGGAGCCGCACGCGGAGCTCCGGAGCGCGCTCCCGCGCCGCGCCCGCGCGCCGCCCTGGGCCCATTGATCGCCGGGGGGCGCGGGGGGCGCGGCGAAGCCCGAATTAACGACCGAAGAGCGGCGCGGTGCCACGACCTCGCGTTTTCACCCCCAAACGCCGCGTCCCCCGCTCCACTCACCGTGGCCGAAGCGACGGCGCCGTCCGCCAGGGTCAAGTGGTGCGGCTCCCACCGCCGCAGGAACTTGGAGGTGAGGATCTTGCTGAGAAACGTCCGGGGGTGCCGGATGACGCACACCTGGATGTCCCCCTCCTGCAGCAGTTTGTACCTCATGCCGTTGCAGTGCAGCAGGGCCCGGCGGCACGGCGCGGCTGCGGGGCGGGTGCCCTCGGGGCCCGGCGGCGGTTCTGCGGGGAGCGCCCTGCCGTCCTCTGCGCGCTGCCCGCGGTCGCCAGAGCCGCCGCCGCCGCCGCCGCTGCGATCCATCGCGGCTGAGGGGATGGCGGCGGGCGGAGGCGGGGAGAGGAAAAGAAAGGAGATCCGACCCCACGCGGCGGGCTCAAAAATTTAAATCGAGGAGGAGGAAAATAATAAAAATCACAGGCCTGTAAAAAAAAAAAAAAAAAAAAAAAACACAAAGCCGCCGGAGAGGGCGAGGGAGCGGGGTTCAAGGGAAGCGATCAGAAGCCGAATTCAAACTTCCCCCTCCGCCCCGCGGCGGGGCCCCGCGCCGCTCCCGCAGCGCCACATCCACGCCCGGCTCCCGGCGTGGGCTGCAGACAAAAGGCGGCGGCGGGAGCTCGGCGCGGGGCTGCGGGGTGGCCGGCCGCGGCTCCTTCCTTCCCCCCGGGGCGTGTGCGCGACAGCGGGCGGCGGCGGGCGCGCGTGTGCATGTAGGTGGGTGCGTGGGTGCCCGCGCGTGGCCGGGGCGCGGGCGCGTATATGTGAGTGTGTATGTGTGTGTGTGTCTGTCTGTGTGTGTGCGTGTGGCGCGGGCGGGCGGGTTTCTGTGTGTATATCTGTGTGTGTGTGTGCGTGTCTCTGTGTGTGTGTGTGTGTGGTGTCCCCGCACGCGCCGCCACCGCGGGAGGAGGCGGTGAGAGGAGAGAGCGCTGCCCACTGCCTCTCTCGCCGAAGCCGCTCCGGGCGCAGCCGATTGGCTCCGGCGAGGTCACGTGCCGCCCTCCCTGACGTCAATGGCCGCGGAGCCGCCGAGGGCAGCGGCGGCAGCGGCGTTGGCGGCCGCGCGCGCCTCTTCCCGCGCAAGCAGCGCGGTCGCCGCGCCCCTCCCCCGTTCTCAGAGGGGCCGGGGAGGGCGGTGCGACCCTGAGGAAACTGCCCAGGGAAGGGCGGAGGTGTGTGGGCACACCTGCGCGCCCCCGGAGGGCAGCCCTCCGCCCTGAGGAAAAGGCTGTTGAAAAAGGGAAGAAAAAGGGGTTTTGTTGTGTTCAATCACGATAGATAGCCCCGGGGCAGGCCCCAGGGTGGGGGCGGCCCTGCCTCAGGGCTGGGCGATGGCCCGACAATCCAAAGGCCAAGGAAGTCGCAGGCTGTGGATCTTGCTCCCATTTTCCTGAACTGAACCACCACGCCACGACCAATAACATGTATATCATATCATGTATATCATATAATACACACACGTGTTACCAAACGTTGGGATGCATCGTGCTAGGCCCAGCCCAGGTCAGGACTTGAGGAGAAACATACTGGGCTGCTTCAGCACAACAGTCAGGAAATCTAAATCTCAAATGTTGAAACTCCTTGCTAATGGGAAAGGCAGGGGTGCAGTTCCAGCAGAGCCATCACCTGCCCTGGAGAAAACTCCCATTGAAACTTAGGTTCACATCGGGAGTCACAGTTACAAAGCGGAGAGGCGAGCTGCGACTGGAAGGGTTGGGAGCTTTTGCTGTCCAGCCTTTTGTGTTGGCGGCTGTTAGAAACAACTCCTGACTGCATGGTGCACAATTCTGAGCGTGTCCATCGTGACTGTTGCTGTAAAGCCGTTCTGTTGAAATCGGCTTGCATCTGACAGCAGAATTGCTAGTTAAACACTTTCAGCGGGGAAGGATTTTGTAACCTATCAATACTAGCAAACTCTGTGAATACTTTTGTTGAATGTCAGCATCAAAATTATCTAGAAAAAGCTTGGAAGTTGCCAGAGTGCTTCTAAATACCAGTTTCTAGAATGATGCACAGAATTGCAGAATTTGGCTAAAGCTAGCAGAAAGACTCTCATTTAATAACAGGAATGATACAACCAACAGGAAGACAAAAACCTCTTTTGTAGAAGTTCAGTTTGTCCATATCTAAAAGCCTTGGTTTCTTCCTGAACTTAAACTAACCAGCCACTGTGTGCTAACTATTACAAGCAGCTCCCACAGAGCTTTGTATACCGTACACTGTGAGGGGTGATTGACACATGTGTTTGCACAAATTAAATCAGATCTACCCATACCTGTAAATTTGTGTTGATCTCCTATTAAGAAAAGAGAGTGGGGAAGGGAAGGGAAGGGAAGGGAAGGGAAGGGAAGGGAAGGGAAGGGAAGGGAGAAGGGAATTTAAAAAAAAAAAAAAAAAAAGATTTCCAAACTAAATTTTAAAAGGACAGCTTTGTTTAGATGTAAGCTTTTCTCTGCAGGAACTCTGTTTCTAGGATTTCCTACGATGGGCTGATACAAGGGAGACGTGTTCTTGTCTGACCCACTGCACTGTTCTGGTTCTCGCAATAATGGTCTCAATGGTAGGACTGTTTGCACACACTCCCCTACAGCAACACTTCCATCAGTCAGAACTGTAACCAATGAGACTATTTTGGTGCGAGTTCGTGCAAACTAGCCACCTGCTCAAACCACTGCTTTAAATCTACCAGAATTGTCATCACTGACAGCTGTCTGACAATAGGAGGGCAGTATGCAAAGAGAGTTTGATGATTTCAAGTGAATTTCCTTGCAAATCAGAGTAGAGGTTTTCAACTCGTGTATTACAGAAAGAAACAAAAAAAGCAGTGGTCTGCAGCAGCCAACACATGAGTTAGCTGGCAAGATCCAGGCCCTCGCTTGAAATCTGCAGCTTGATGTTGAAATTCACTGAGATATTGCAAAAGGACAGCACATCAGGCAGCACCACTGCTAGCAAGCCAAGGACACAGCCCCATAGCGGTGCTATGTCTGCAGATCACTGAATCCACCCTTCTAGGCTGCAGGTGATCTCTGAAGGAAATTCAACACAGAACAGGTATGAAATCTCACATTGCCTGCCAACATGGGGCAACCAAAAGCCCTGACAAGTGAAATCAAAACATGCTGCTTGCTGAAATGTGCTTTAGCCATCCAACCTGCAGCAAATGTGACCCTAGGCTGAGCACATTAAAACTAAAACCCCTTCTCACATTCCATACAAATTATACCAAGCAGAAGCCGGATGTCTTGCCTTCCCTGTATGAACAAAATAGACCTGGGAGTGCGGTCAATGCTCGGTTGAACATGAGCCAGCAGCGTGACCAGGTAGCCAAGAAGGCCAATGGCATCCTGGCTTATATAAGAAATAATATAGCCAGCAGGACCAGGCAGGTGGTTGTCCACATGTACTCAGCTCTGATGAGGCTACACTTCAAAACTATGTTCAGTTTTGGGCGCTTCACTACACAAAAGACATCGAGGCTCTGGAGCATGTTCAGAGAAGGGCAATGGAGCTGGTGAGGGATCTGGAGCACAGGTTGTATGAGGAGTGGCTGAGGGAACTGGGATTCTTGAGTCTGGAGAAGAGGAGGCTCAGGGGAGATGTTATTGCTCTCTATAACTACCTGAGAGGAGGTTGTGACCAGGAGTGTCAGTCTCTTCTCACGTGTAACTGGGGACAGGGCAAGAGGGAATGGCCCCAAGTCACAGCAGGGGAGGTTCGTGTTGGATATTAGGAGAAATTTATTCTCCAAAAGAGTGGCCAGGTGCTGGGACAGGCTGCCCAGGGAAGTGGTGGAGTCACCACCCTTGAAGGCGTTCAATAAGCATTTGGATGTGGTACTGAGGGACATGGTTTAGTGGGGAAGTGGAGGTGGTAGGTGGACAGTTGGAGTGGATGATCTTGGAGGTCTTTTCCAACCTCAGTGTTCTATCATTTTGTCTCCATGCAGCCCAACAGACATCTCAGCTGTACATGTATCACAGTATTGCAAAGTGGTGTTCAGGGGTCACTGTGTTGTTTGTTTTTTAATTTTCTTTCGGGAATCTAATTTTTGTGAGCAGATACATCAGTGTGTTAGAACAAAAACAATGTGACATTCTGAAGGAAAAGAAGATGGGTAATTTGTGAATACTGCTCAGTGCCAATAACACAGGCTGTAGAGCAGTGGGGGGCCTGGAAAACCCATGAGAAAACACTTGAGGTGCCAAAATGTACACAGGGAAAAAAGCTGTTGCCTAAAGGCACCTTGTATGAGAGTATACCCATGCAGTAGTGTTGTATGACAAGCTAAAGGAGGGGAGACAGGAACAAGGGCCAGAGCACTCTCCCCAAAGAGGATTAGCAGGATTTGTAGTATGATTTCAAAGGGAAAGCTAGAAGGAGGAATAAGATAACTCTTTCCTCCACCTTTGCATGATTCCTGACTTGTTTTACAGAATAATATGATAATAATGGTTCAGGCAAAATCTTTCTACAGTCCAATCAAAGAAGGAAGAAAACAAACCTGCTTCTGTTGTTTCACTGAAATTTTTACAGTTGGAGGCTGTAAAGGCCTACTGCATTCATACTCGCTATCAAAAAACAAAAACCACAATAAAACAAAACAAGAACCCCACTGCTATTGTAGGCTCAACAAGTCCCTGAGAGATATCAGTACAGAAATGTGAGGTGGTTTTGCCAAATAGAGAAGCAAGCACCAGGAATTCCCAACTCGTATTCAGTATCCGTTCAGACTCTTACACAGCAGCTGTCCCACTCATATTTTAATCCTTGATGCATACTAGAGATAATGGAGCTTTCTTCCCTTATTCACAGAGGTGTTGTGTGGATTATGGAATTGTTAGTCAATGCTTGTAAATTACCACTGTTGACTCAGAGCAAATTCCTGCTATCAGACTGGGTAGTCAGCTCATTCTCATAACAATGCTGTATTGTTAAAAATACTTTTAAACCACTCTTCGGTGAAACTGGGAAATACAATACATTCAGGCAAACATATGAAACATAAAAGAGGTGCTGTATCAATAGTGCTAGAAGTCCTGCATTTGAAGTTTGAGTTAATCACTGTAGTGGCTCCTTAGGAAGCTACAGCAAGTCATAAAACAGAATTGTTTCCCAAAAAGAGCGATGGATATTTTAAACCTATCTAGATAAAGATTAAAGAAACCACCCTGAAAGGAGCAGTTCTGTATTTGCCCCTGAGGGAAGGACAGGCTTGATTAGGGCCATCAATCACAAATGCATACAATTAAGATTTTCAAGCATCTCTTACCCAAATTTCTCATCACCCACTTCTAAGCCTG